GTTGTTTCACACCTTGGTCAAACTGCTGACAACCAATAACTAATGCCAACTTATAAGATTAAAAATCTCTGTTAAAATTATCTGAAGAGCTGGGTACAGTGGCTTAGGTCGATATAGCATTCCCCCAATGAACAACATGAGCTTCTGACTTCTCCCACCATCTTTTCTCCTTCTACTAGCCTCCTCAATAGTAGAAGCCGGAGCAGAGACTGGGTGAACTGTACACCCCATAATCCCAACTACTTGGAAGGTGAAGATAGCATTTCGAGGCCAGCCTGGACAAAAAGTTCACACGGCCAATAAAAGCTGGGCATGGGGGGCACGTGTAGGAAGCATAAACAGGAGGAGAGTGCTCCAGCCAGTCCAGGCATAAACGCAAGACATCACTTGAAACATAATGAAAGCAAAAAGGACTTGGGGCTTGGCTCAAGTGGTAGAGTGCTTGTCTAGCAAGTGCACATCCCTGAGCTCAAACTCCAGTACCAACCCCCCAAAAAAAGAATTAGCTAAGGGACTGCAACAACATATATTTGTATAGGTGTTAAGTCCAGTGCTAAAATGGCAGTTCAACCAAGAACAGGAAGAGCTCAGCCAAGTCTCCTTCCTTTATTCTCAAAAGAATCCTCCCCCTTGGAGAAGGGGGCTATCATTTGCTTATGTGAGAAATCAAGTATGCAATTTTCTAACCGAAGTCCAGCTGGCTAACATTATGTTGATACAGTACGCTGTACAAATGGACATCAGGAGAGATCTTTCTAAAACTGCTAGATCTGAGGGTACAGGACGCTGGTCTCTTGATAACCTGCTATCACTGCAGTGTAGACGGATAACACAGCAAAGCTTCTCACAGCGACAGTCAACAGAGGGTGACCAGATATGCCAGTGTGCTCTTATCAGGTATAAAAACTCTCAGGCCAGGGACTCCAGGGGAGGGAGTAATAGTGTGGACTCTCCTAGGCCAGGGAGACAAATATTTGTCCCCCAAAATTATCACAACACTATACTTCATTGCTGCCCTTTTACTATTTAACCAAGGAGGATTTGAGGAAGTTTTCAAGTTCACCAACTATGGGCTGGAGACATAGCTTAGTCACTGAGTTCTTGCCTAGCATGTACGAGGCCCTGAGTTCCATCCCCAACACCACAAAAATAAAGCTGATAAAATATTCTTCAACTTAGTGAATGATAAGCTGGATAATCAGAAGGTCCAAGGGCTACCACTGAACATGAAAAGAAAAAGTCAGCACCACCCTTAACAATCTGTGTGAATCTGGAGTACAGTGTCCAAGCAGAGGAAGCCCAACTCAAAGGCCACCTTTCCAATGACCTTCTGGGAAAGGCAAAACTACAGGACAGCAATGCCAGGGGAAGAGCTGACTGTGAAGGACACAAGAGAATTTGAGAAAGGCTGACAGACTGCTCTGTACTTTGATTTAAAACTTACAAAACTGCATTTGAAGAATGAGTCACACTGTCCATTATACCACAGTAAACATGGCTTTTTAAGAAATGATGGTTTTGTCCCTCACACACACCCTCCAGGAGGGTAAATGTGCCTGCAGGGGTGTGCTGCCATCCTGGATGGGCCCATTGTGCCCTCCTCTACCGAGCCCAACCAGTCACCACGCAGGACAGGACAGGAAATAGAAACCCTTAGGGATCTCAGTCAGAAAGGAATCTAGCATGGGATTTCTGAATTTACCATTGGAAAGGTGAAGAGTAGACATCAAGGGTCCCTTAAACTTTGAAATATAAGCACGCACCACTACAGGGGGCTGCGAGTCAAAGGTCGGGAAGCCACCAGCCACACCTTCTCACTCCCAGGCACCAGAGCGAGGCTGGCCACAGCCTCCTCTAAACACTCAGGTCCCTGACCCTGCCTGTCAGCAGTACCAGCAGAACTTCATTTCCCCCACTAAGCTGTTAAGAGAGTGGGAGCATGGAAAGTTAGGTCTCCAGTCCCTTCAAGCAAGGGCTGGGGGGAGAGCTCAGTGGCCAGTGTATGCCTAAAATGAATACTCAGGCCCTGGGGTCAATCCCCAGCACAAAACAAAACAGAACAAAACAAAAATGAGCCAATCCACAGTATCCACCCTTCTTATCCTACCTTTCTTTTCTTTAATACAGAAAGCACAATGAAGCCCTGCCTCCTATATTTTTTTGGTCTAAATGTAAACTTCAAATGGTGTCACAGAGCTGAAAAAACTGTTCTACTAATGGATGAAACCAAGATCCTAACTCATTTCATTATGGAAGAATATTTCACTTTCACGTTTAGTTAGCTCTGGCCCCAGCAGGATAAAATGCTAAGCTCATGCACTTGATAAAACACAGCCAAGCACAGCTCCATTCTAACTCATGTATTATAAACACACTATCTGTTTTAGCTTTTTTTCTGCTGAGAATTAGGCAGACTAAGCTTGAGAATGCATTTGTTTCCCAGATAGTAAGCCAGAACCAGGCAGGGAGGTACCTTTTGCATCCTGATTATTCTCCCAAAGACCCAACAAAGCAGAAGAAAATAGTTTATTAAACTAAAATACCATAATAACAACAATTCTTAAAATTAGCTCTCCTAAGATGATCGTTACTACATTCTCTATATCAAAAGTGGCAAGTGAGGAATTTTGAGACTTTAGGAATTTCACTTCATTCCTTCTTGAGTTAGTTCTTTAGATTACTCAGAAGGGAGAGAGATAATGGCAACTTTTTCCTTTTTCTGCCAGAAAAACTATTGGTGGATTTTGTTAGTTCCTTCAACGAACAAGACAAAAAAAACATGTGACAAAGCACAATGACCTAAGAAGAAAAATGGTGTCCAAACAAACTAGCTGTTTGGGCTCTGAGAATCAGCTACCAGAGTTGTCGCTTGGAAAAATGAGGGGAGTCTCTGCAAAAGAACTCTAATTCTCCCTCCTCAGAAAACCCTCAAAACACTACTGTACCCCCTAGGTCTCTTGCTGCCATGAGGAATCATTGCACAATATCTTATAATCCTCTGACAAAAGGATTAAGGGCAATAACAACACAAGCCAATGACTGCTCCAAATTTAATGGAAAAGGCTCTTCTCCTTAGGGAAACTTTTAAAAAGGTGAACTTGGAGCTAGTTATTACAATTAGATGGCATCTCCCATCAGTGCTGCTGACTGGTGGGGCAAAGCGGGAGACAGTTTTTATTTAAAAACTACAGGCAGCCTCTCAGCCTTTAGGGGTCAGAGGATGCACCATCAGGGAAGGAAGAAGCAACACTAAGAAGGACTAACACAGCATGGAACATTACCACCTGCAATGAGTACGTTGATTAAGCTCTGTTAGGTTTTGTCTCAGAATGCTGCTGGGAATGAGGATCTAAACCACGATTACTAAAGATCTAAGAACTCACTTCTGTACTCTTTTCACTTCCCTCTAAAGCAAGGCTTTAAATATGTTGCTTATGGCATCACATGTGTGCACACACACGCACATACATCAGGTTCTTTTCTGGGAGAATGGAGGATTTTGTATTTTTTCAATCCTTTTGCAGTTAGGCAACCACTTGAGACAGCTGGGTTCCTACCACTTAGTCACGGACTTAAACCTTGCAACTCATGGACCAGATACATGTATTTTTTTCAGCCTGAAACTCCTTGCACAGTTACAGGTCAAATGCCTTTCAAAGAGCCACATCTTCCTTGGCTTTCTATCCTGCTAAGGCCCCTTGAAGAAGCTACTGAAACCTTTGTAAGCAGCCTAACACTGCCTTTTGAGAGCCACTCTACTAAGTCACTGTCAAAGAGCAGCAGGAAGCTAGGAGAGAAACTTCAATTGACGGGTGAGATACCTGATGGAAGAAGCTGCCTAGGGCAGCTTTCAAAATAGGTATGTGAGTGTCCCACAATATTCAGGCTAAAATGATCTCAACTGAAATTAAGAACAAACTCTAACAAGTAAAGCAAAAGGGCATGTACATCAAAAGAAAAACAAAAACCAAAAATTTATTCATGACGCAAGTAAAACTGGACAAAGGAACCACTGCATTTGGCTCCATTCCAGTTGAGGCAGGCTAGAATTAGAGAAAGTTCTGTACTCATAAAAAAATATGACTTAATATTGTATGTATTTATATGTTGCCCATACCTGGCCCGGTCACCGCCCATGCGCCTTCCCACTCATTGATTATGGGATGGAAATCACCTGGTTCCTCCCTTCCCATAGATTAGCTTAAGTTTTAAAAGCACATGGAAAGGAGAAGCATACTCTCGGCCTCCATATTCCAATTGTGCCCACCATGCTCCCTTTTGTGTTTCCCTTCCCAAACTTTTAATAAACTCCGTTTACACCCATGCGTCCTGCCATGGATTCTTCCTGGTGGGACACAAAGAATTTGGAATTCTAATAACAGGCACCATTAACACAGCTGCCCTGGAAGGCAGAGGTAAGGAGCCAAGCCAGGACGACAGACAGCGGGGTCCGTGGAGCTTGCTGGAGCCTGGCTGGTGGTCAAATCTTCAGGGAAGGGCTGCTCCTCGGTGACAAGGCACAGCAGTAACCCTCAGCAGCCTGCGCAGAGTCTCAGCCTGCCCCTTGGACCCGGCCTGGTTCGGAGGCATGCAGGAGTGGAGGGAGTTAGGCAGGAGCTAGTACAGCACGAACCACATGAAGAAGCCATTAATCAGGGGTGACATGACATATTGTAACTGCTCCCCATCAAGCCAACAGGCATTGTTTTAATGGCCTGTTAGGATTTCTCCCACTTGAAGTTAAAATGATTCCTATTTCAATGAAAATAGGAGAATACTCATTTGAGGATCAAAATTTACCCCGGGCAGCTGTCAGATACAAGAACAAAAGAAGTGCCAGAAAGGCACCAAACTAATTTTGTCCCTCCAAGCTTTTCTTCCATTTGGTAATTTGTCTCCTCTTTAAACAAAGAGATGAGCGAGTTACAAGTACAATTACCATATTTCTGAATGAACAAGCACTAACACAAGCCATGAGCACGCTGCGGACACTAGCTTACCTCTGGCTCTGAGGTCTGCTCCTCTTCGGCAGAGTTTGGTAAAATTGCCCAGGTTATGTTGGCACTGGCTGATGGCAAAGAGCCAAGGGTCCCATTTTTCAGCTGTTCCGCAGAATGTGACTTGGGCCCATGCCATCCCAGGATGTTTTCTGAAATAAAGACCTACAATGATGCCAAGTATTTTCCAAATGTTAACATTTATAGCTTATGAAATATTCGTACCTCAGTGCATAAGGAAATCTATCTAACATAGACCCAACACAACACAGGATGGGCTCTGCTTTGGATAAAGTACAAGTTTAGATTCTGACCTTGTATTATGATTATGTATTTATGTTAATGTATTTATGATTATGGTTATGTATTATGATCATGTATTCACTTCTGAATATCAATATCAGAATCAATAGGCCAAGTATAGTGGTACACGCCTGTAATCCCAGTACTGGAGAGGCTAAGGCAGGAGGATCAAGAGTGCTGAGGCCAGCCCTGAGCTACACAGTGAGCCCTTGTCTCAAAAAAAGAAAAAAAAAAAATCACTCCCCAACCCAGAAATAATCCCCATTTTATCAATGTCAGATAAAGGTGCTTTTCTTTAAATATTTATAATAAAAACACAAAGATTTTATCAAAAATACCCTCAATGTGGTTTAATTGCCATAATAATCAAGGTTCAGAAAAAGATGCCCACAGTACAGTCACACCGTGCCACCTCTGCCACCAGGTATGGCCAGGTAGAGCAGATATTAAGAAGCCTCATCACTAAGGGCCAATGTACGCATTACATCCTAGCAAGTGCTTTTATAAACACTAATGTGATAAACAAAAGCTAACCTTCCCTCAACCCCCTTGGGGATGAAAGACCCTCTCCTCCAATGTCACCTTTTAAGGGTCCTGTGTTACTATGGAATGTCTTTCCATGCTTAGATTTCTTTCCCCCATGGCAATTCCGCTACGAGGATAAATAGGTCTCATTCCCAGCTGATTTCCAGTCTGGAGACTGTGTTCCCATCTAAGAGCAAGGATAAATGACAGAGAAAAGATGGGCTGAAGTAGAGACACGCTCGTGTGAATCAGAACTAAACCTGTCAATGTCTCAGGTGCTCCATCCATAAAGGAATCCTGCCTGTCAGCTTTCTCACTGGAGTTACACAAGGAAAATTCTACAAGCAGCCTAAACTTCTAGCACTCAAGATAATCTGTTGGTGGAAGCAAAGTAACAGGGCAGAGAAGGAGTTTGCATGTGTGTTGCTGTGCACAATGTGACCCAACCCAAGTACATCTGCACCCCAAATCTCTCTTTATTTTAAAATCAAACATGTAACTCTGCTGCTGAAGACTCAAGTGGTTTCTCATTACAACAGAAATGAAGTCTAAACTGCCCAGCTCTCCTCTATGCCCGAGAGCCTGGCAGGCTTGTCTTCTCTCCCCATGCTCACTGTGGTCAGTATTTTTTTCCATTCCCCAAATGAGTCAAGTTCATTTCAGTCTTAGAGCCATTGCACATGCTATTCCTTCCTCCCCAAGTACTGTTCCTCAGCCCTCAGCAGAGGGTCTCGTGAGTAAATCCTGGGTCAGCTAAGAGTCTCTATTCAAAGAGGCCTTCTGCAATGCGACCTCCCTGGCCACACGAGCACCCCACAGGCACTCCCTGTCATGTCACTGCTTACTGCCGTTTCTAGATCTAGCACCATGGGAACTTGACCAGTCCCTCTTTACATCCAGGTTGTTTCTTTCTCCTCTCCAGAATGCCAGTGTTAGGGCAGGGGCCCTTGCTCAGGGACATCCTCAGAACCTAGGATATGAACAGATGGAGCAACTGCTTGCTACCTATGTGCTGAATCAATGAATGCCTATTAAGACACCCAGAGGGCGCTTCAAAGCCATCTAAAATTTACAATGTTACGAACAACAAAAAAAAGTACAATAGCACCAGGGGCTGGGTAGTTACTGTTTAATGGATATAGGGCTTTAGTTTTGCAGGATGAAAAAGCAATGTGAAGATATTAACACTACTGATATGCATACATAAAGATAGTTAAGATAGAAAATTTTAAATTATGTGTATTTTACTACAATTTTCAAATGACAAAAAAAGCACCCAAAAAGCAACCCTTGATGTCATTTTTTTTGGGTACCCTACCACTTGAGCCACACCTCCAGTCCATTTTGCTCTGGTTATTTTGAAGATGGGCTCTCATGAACTATTTGCCTGGGCTGGTCTCGAACCACAGTCCTCCCAGTCTCAGCCTACCAAGTAGCTAGGATTACAGGCATGAGCCACCATCACCCAGCCCAATGCCACTTTTAACAAGGTAAAAACTTGGACCAGATGTGTTGATGCACAACCAGAACTCAGGAGGGCAAATCCATCTCCACCAACAAGTTGGCCATGATGTCATATGAGTGTAATTCCAGCTGTGGTGGGAGGCATAGGGAGGAGGATCACTATCTGAGGTTGACCCCAAGACCCTATCTGAAAAAGAAAAGAAAAAGGGGGTAAGGCTGAGGCTCAAGTAGTAGATGGCTTGCACCTCTATGAAGCAAGAACACAAAGTCAGAAGAAGAAAACAGGATGAAGTGAAAAGGAAATGGATGCACCAGGTATTATTAGGATGAAATGACGGCAGCATTTTTGTAGAATTAAAAGTAATCTGGAACCAGGAAAACGCAGACCCAACACTGCAGAAGGCCGAACAACCGCATATTGAGATATAGAAGCTCTCCCAGTGTGAAGGTACTAAGGACACAGATGACAATCACGGGACAGAAGAAAATAGAGAGGAGGCAGAACAGAGACCCAAGAGGTGGAGGATCAGCATTCCCAAAGGACAGTGGAGCCAAAGCAGCTATGACAGGAGAATGCAGCACCCTGCATTACCAGAGTGGGGTTGAAAGGACCCACCACAGTTGGGAGAGTCGGGGCGGGGGGCAGGTGGGGGGAGGACAGGACGGACAAACTCACCCCCGCACACAGCTGGACTGTACTTCCTTAGGATTCTTATAACTGAAAACTTGAAACATACACAAAAAGCAGACAGAATAGTATAATGAGCCCCTAGATCATGAAGTGTGGCTACATTTTTGAATAATGAAAATCAAGAAGTTTTGTTTTCAATACATAGGTAGAAAAATTAGACCCGTCTCAAAGGGGTGTATAGGTTTGGGATGGGATGAGGAACTGGTGTGGTGCTGCTCCTCAGTCACATTTACTGAGGTCCTGCTGCTGCTGAGGACTCCTATACACCCTTCGTGCATATGAACTCCTCTGTGCAGATGGCCCCAGGAGGTAGGCACCACCCCTCTTGATTGAAAGATGAAGGAACAGAGGCATAAGAGAGGGTGATATTAGAGACAGGATGACACCGCAGGCAGCCGGGCTCTGGAGCCCACCCTCACACCCGGCACCATTGCAGAGACCAAGAAAAGACTATGTTCTTGGAGAAAACTACTTGAAGACATTCACCAACATGTGAAGAAATGCAGCAGAATCCAGAGTCAAGTACAATGGAGGCAGTGGAGCATACAGCCGGGTCAGGGTCAAGGTCAGGGTCAGGCAAAGAGACACTGGCCACAGTTGAAAGCATAAAGGGCCGAGAAACTCCACAATCAAGGCAAACAGTGTTTTAACATGGTACTTTTAAACCTGAAAGTAATGCAGAGAGAGAGAGAGAGAAAGTCAGCCAGTCAGTCCTACAGGGCTCAGCCTCACCTGCCTCATGTTACTCCCTACTCTGCTGGGTCTGCCTGCTATGGATTGAATATCTGTGTCTCCCCAAATTCCGTAAGCTCCAGCGTGTCATGATATGGAGACAGGCCTTTAGGAAGTAATTATAGTTAAGTGAGACCATAAGGTAGGATCTGCTCCAATAGGATTATGTCCTTAAAAGAAGTAGAAGTAACCAGGCTCACCTTAGCAGCACATACACTACCAAAAACCAAAAATGCCGGGATGATACAGAGAAGATCAGCATTGCCCCTGTACAGGATAACATGCAAATCCATCAAGTGCTGCACATTTGTGGCCGTTGTGTGATGTCTATACTTCCTTTCTCCTATGCTGTTTCTTTCCACGGATTATGTTCATCTAAGCCATTTTATTTTTTATTTACCAAAGCACTATGCTTGGCTAATTACAGTGCTTTTAAAACAAAATGTTTCTTCTTGTGGTTTCAACCTTCAATACTTGGTGCAACAGAAGCCACAAACATGTGCCATTTCATCTATGAAATGGAGTCTTGTACACCAATAAATTCTAGTTTTAAAAACAACCAAGCCAGTGCGTGTGGTTCACTCCTGTAATCCTAGCTACTTAGGAGGCTGAGATGCGAAGAATTGCTGTTTGAGGCCAGCCCAGGCAAATAGTTTTCGAGACCCTATCTCAAAATAACCAGAGCAAAAATGGACTGTAGGTGTGGCTCAAGCAGTGGAGTGCCTGCTTTGCAAGTGCAAAACCTTGAGTTCAAACCCAAGTTCCACCAAAAAAAAGAAGGGGAAAGGGTGATTTATTTTCCCTAAACATGACTATATACTTCAATATCAAAGTCAGAATGATTTTAAGAAAATTTTTAAATAATTAGTCATTATCATACATTATATAAGTATTTTACTAATATTAATTTTAATAACACTAGAGTGCTTGCCTAGCAAGAGGCCCTGGGCTTAGTCTCCAGCATTTGTGAATATATAGTTATATATGTTAAAAACAATACCCCGCACACTATACCACCAAAAATAAGGGCAGTGGATTGGAGAAGGAGAGAAATTAAAATACCTTCAGTCTTCATTAAAGGAAAGATTCAAAACACAGCATGTCATCCTAAATTTGACTACAAAAATACTGTTAAAAAAGGCTTACAAAAAACCAAATGCAACCACTACTTGTATGTGTATCATATTTTCTCCCAAAACACTAAAGAAGAGTAAAGAAATACAGCCTGTGTAGCAAAACAGTGAGGGAAAAAAAAGCAACCTGGAAACGTAAGAACAAAAACATAAAGCAGACTGGCAGAGAAACAATAACGTTTGTTGTTTGTTTTTTTAAATAGGATCTCACTATGAAGCCTAGCCTAGCCTCGATATCCTCCTGCCTCCACCTCCTGGAGGCTGGGCTTACAGGTATGTACCACCATGCCTGATCTCAAACGTCAGTTTTTAAGGGCAGAGGTTTGACTGGAACTGTCTTTAATCAGGCTTCCATCCAGGTGACAGCAATTGGATGCTCCCCTTCTTTAAGCACAGTGACAGACTTGCCTTCCAGGTTCTGTGAAGGGCTTTCTTTGTAGGGAAAAGAGTACAACAAATCTACAAACTGGAGAAAAGCATGAGGCATATTTGAGGTGGACAGCCAGGATGATGGTGCCTAACTGCTTTCTTAAGGAGAAGCTGCCACTCAAAACCTTGGTCTAGACAGTTTAAAAAACCCACCCATCTGAAACATTCTGAAATGCTGGCTCCTCTCCTCTCCTACCATCCTGTTTACTGATGGCATGGCTGCATTTCTAGCTTGTCTTGCAATATTAAATTAAAAGGAAGGTGACTGTGGGCAACTCTGCCAGAAGCAGTAGGTATCAGGCAAGAAGGGAGCAGACAGGAAGCAAAAGAAGGGCCTGTCTCAGTGGCGGAAGAGAGAGACACAGAGAAAAGTGAAGCCAACAGAGGAAGAAAAGCAAACATCCAGAAAAGCCAAGAAGAATCTGAACAAGTCACACTTAAAATTTTTGCTAAACCTCACCATGGTGGGGGGCAGGCAGGGGCAATGTGACAGCTTACTGAAGACACTCCCCACAGATCTTATGAGGATGAAAACATTATAGAAGAGTGAGTCAGGAAAACAGTCCAGTTCTCCTTCCTTTAAATAAATGTGTTGCCAGAGCTCTGCAGTCACTTGTCCTGACAACACTGATCCCAGAAACCCCCTTCCCCAAGCCCGCCTTGCATCCACCAGGCTGTGTACATCCAGCTCTTCCTTGGGACTGAACCAGGTCTGCCTGGATACATGTGTCTGATTGAACTTGAACTCTGTTTCCTGGACTAAAGCCTACAAGCTAATAAAGAACCTAACAGAGGTTTTATAACAGAACTCTCTGCACCTGCAAATCCTTCAAGGTATAGTTCTCTCTCACACTGGCGATCCACCTGTGCCCACGTTCCAAGTGGCACAGCATTTTCCAGTTCTGAACCTGGTTCTACTTGCCTTTTGCTCATAGAATTGAAGGCACACTTCTAGGCCAGGGCAGGCATTTGCCTCCATCCAGCTGCTGAAGTAGATTTAGTAGGAAGGCTAAGAGAGCTGCACAACTTAAGGCTTGACCAACAAGTCAAACCACTTATTAATCTTCATTACAAACCTGTCCATAAACAGAATTTCAGATCCAGTATATCTTAAAGATAACATCAGAAACGGGAGCTAAAACACATAGGAGGGAGGCAGACACATATTGAAGTATTTTCAGGCTTCAGTGTAGCTGCTGTGTGCTGGCAAGGAGATGAGAATGAGAGCGAGCATGCGTACACAGGGGCTCCAAAGCCAGCGTGCTTCTCAGGACACAATGAAATGCTACAGAAGAAGAAATACTATGTGATCCCAAGTTCACTTTTGATTTAGAAAAAGGGGCAGAAGGGACAAACAGGGCAAGAGTCAGAAAGCCAAGAAACCTTAAGCAAGAGCAATCTGCAGGGCATTTGTGAGCTGCAGGTACCTTGGGCCTTGCTGCCCACTGAACACTTAAAATGATACTCTGACAGTTTCACTGAAGAGATTTGGTTTCCGTCAACCCATCCTGGCCTTTCTTAGACAAAAGCACTTCATCAGTGTGTGTAAGGCAGCCATGGCAACCGCTGACCCCGGGAGCTCTCAGATAGGAAACACACATTTGGGGGTGATACTTGGGGTCACCATATTCTCTTACTCTGCTCAGCCTGAGATTCTAGAATTCTTAACTGATGTTGCCCACGGTTAAGACAGACGTTAAGAATCACTTCTTGAATGCAAGAAGTGATTCGAGTTCTTTCCCAATGTGTGGCATAGCTTTAAAGGACACATGCAGATTGATTTAAAACCTAAGGGGCTGTTGTGTCATAAGGAATAGAACTTCTAAAAAGAGTCAGGAAGCCAAGGAGACAAATTAGACATTGTGATGCTTCAGGCTCTCTCTTCACTCCAAGTTTCAGCCACATTTCTTGACGAAAATGGCCAAAAGAGAGAGGATAGCAAATGCAGGTGTGTGGAGGAGACATAAAGGAGGTAACACCTGATACAGTGTAATTTCGGCACTCAGTCTCCAATTTGGACCTGTCACCACATTTGAAATTCTGCCATATGAGCTTTGTCCCTTCAGGTTCTTAAAAATACCAGAGACCCAGTGAAAATCAGAGCTTTCTGGAAACTAACCCTAAAGAATTTTTTTTAAAGGATGAATTTTAGGAATTAGAAAATGGCTGAAGCTCTTATTTGCTAGTGAAAGATTCCTGGAATGAGCCCACTCAGTTGCAGAACCTAGACGTCACAAGACAGGGCAAGAAAATCACAGAAAAGTCTCCAGGCTAACTCTGGATTTGTGCCAAGCCATAGTGGCTCCAGAGATCAAGGAGCATGGCTGAGGCTTCCTCATCTATGTTCATCTCCCATGCCAAGGAAGGACAGGAAGGGTGAAAAGCAGGCTTGGGTTCCTTTGCTCTGCACCTCAGCCCACCAAGATCATCTCCAAGACTGAGTTCTGCACTAGACTCCTTTTCTGTTGTTAATAAAGAACATCAGGGGGAACTGGCAAAATGTAGAAGGGTCTGTAGATTAGGAAACGGTCATAGTTCTGTTATTCTGATCATTGTCCTGTAGGTATAAGAGTATGTCCTTTTTAAAAGAAACACACACAGAAGTATTTAAGATGATAGGGAGATCACCTCTGAAACATGGTTAAAAAAAAATCACCGTATGCTTCATATATAGAGAGAAAAGAGGATGAAGCAAGCCTCATAGAGTGTCACCATTGGAATTTGGACAGGAATAAAGGAGAACTTTCCATGCTCTTCTTGCAACTGTTCTGAAGTCTGAAATTGATTTTTAAAAATTAACTAGATACATACCAGCTCTGAGAAAAGTATGGTATGATCAAGACACCACCTCAGACCCAGCTGGAAGAGCCAGAGCCCCGCTGGGTGGCCTGTCTGGATGAAGCAAAGAACCCCAAGTAGGGGATAGATGTCTGCCACAGAGGGGACATCTTGTCTCTCATCTGTGTGTCAGTTGGGTGGCTTTGGGCAAGATGTTTAGTTGCTCTGAACCTCAGCATCTCATCTGAGAGATGGAGGTGGTAATACCTACTTTGTAAGAATTTCGAACACAGAGCCAAGGCCAAACACTGGCAGACTAGAGCTCAGTGAACAGTAGTAGGTATTAAAGAAAGAAAACCAAATTACTCCTCTGAAAAACCAACCATACCTTTCATCCTCAGTGAAACAGGCAAAGGGCACTTAAGGAAAACAAGAAATACAAAGACTATCACTTACAACCTCACTGCAATTCTTACAACCTAAGTTGCCTTGTCTCCTCTTTAATTAAGTGACTTTCACCCACAAAAGTCAGGAGTGCGTCTGGAGTTCTGTTAATTGTAAGACTTCACGATTACAATGTATGGCATAACCCTTCTCAAGTTATTTTGACCTTTATTATTGAATTTAGTCTTCACTAAAGCCTCTATACCTGATTACTGATTAAGCCCTCCTCCAAGAGGATGGAGGCGTGCTCTTAAAGACTGGGCGGTGGCTCACACCCGCAAGCCCAGCTACTCAGGAGGTGGAGGAAGGAAGATCTGGGTTTGAGGCCAGCCCAAGTAAAAAGTTAGTGAGACCCTATCTCAAAAAACAAGCCAAACAGGGTGGTGCATACCTCCTAGTACAAGGGAGGGTGAAGTAGTAGGATTGTGGCAAAAGCATGAGACCCTATCTGAAAAATAACTAAAGTAGAAAGGGCTGGGGTGTGGCTGAAGTGATAGAAGCAAGCACAAGCAACACCCCGAGTTCAAAACCCCCAATACCAGGGCTAGTGGCGTGGTTCAAGTGGTAGAGTGCCTGCCTAGCAAGTATGAGGCCCTGAGTTCAAACCCTAGTGCCACAAAAAATAAATAAATGTGAAAAACCCCAGTACATTCATGAAAGAAAGTGGGGGGCAAGAACATATCCCTAACTCTGGCTTCTGGATGAAGAACTAGAAATGCTTTGGGCGTGTACTCCAGACAAACCCTTTCACAGGACCCTCAGGGGACACACACGAGGCTGTGCCACAAGGGGGTAAGCAGGGCAAGAGGGAGGCCACTTGCAGGTTCGTCATCTAGAGGGGCTGATAACCTGGGCTGGGCAGGGGCTAGGCAGCAATGAGTGTGAAAGACAGAATGCTGAGGGCAAAGGTCACACATGGAATAAGACAGGATGTGGCTGGCAAGTCTGATGGAGCTCAGTGGTGTTTGTGTACATGTTATCTGCATTTTTCATAGGATGCAATGTTTCTAATTTGTAAAATAAAACTACATCCCAAACAGGGAAGGGATGAATGGAAATACAGTTGGATGAAAGGCTAGTGGCTATTGAGGACATGGATGGAATTAAAGGAGGAAGGCCATGGGGATGCACACACGTGCATGCACACACATGCACGGACACATGCAGATTGTACAACACATACCCCAAGCCGACAAGCCCAGGGTGCGGGCTCTTACCTGAAGCCCCTGGCTTATGGCTGGGAGGGCCCGCCTGGCGCACGCTCTGCTGCAGCAGGCTGAGGCACTCCCCAAGGCAGCTGAGGGTGGCAGCGGAGGTAGCTTTCAGGAGCAGCAGGTCCTGGTCCAAGGCAGTGAGGGGGCCGGAGCCCGGCAGGGACTCGATGGCATGCACAAGGGTCTTCTGCTGCCCTTCCACCTGGCTCATCATCTGAAAAACGGGACGGACAGGAGGTGTGGGTGAAATGACTCCTTTCATCAGGCTGGTGAGCTAGCGCTGAAACCAAACTGGACCGGCAGGCAGAGTGAGCTCACAGTATGCTCAGTCCCCATGAGTCCTTTGCTGAGAGGCACAGGCCTGGTGACTGTCGGGGCCAATCTATCCAAAGTCACTCTGACCAGAACAGGAAGTTAGGATGTGAGAGCTGAAAGGTACCATCAAGAGACTGGGTGTACTCTTTACAGATCTTCAGAATGTAAGTCTAAGATAAAGACATCAAGGCAGAAGTCCCTGCACCCTTCCCTGTGTCCTTTCATCACTGGGAAGGGTGGGTTTCTGAGACAGTGGACACACTAGGGCTCTCCCTCAGAACAAGGGTGAGGCCTCATTTCCCTTCCAGCCCCAGTCTTTCATTCCCTGGCAACCCTAATAGTCAGAGGTAAAGGAATGGAAGCGAAACCCAGAGCTGGCATTTGCACAAGTAAGATCACCGTGAAACCAGTGCTAAGCCACCCCACTACCAAAATTACACAGCACCTGACTTTTTGCAATACCACACAAGATGGCAGGAAGAAGAGGGAAACCAGGAGCTGTAAACCCAGCCCTAGCTAAATATTAGACTGTGACAAACCTAGATAACCATATCTGTGGCCTGTCTTCAATCCATAAGTGTATCGTAAGATAAACAGTGGTATAATTGTGTCTTTGAATTTGGCAAGGAGAAAGGAACTCCAGGTAGAATAGAAAAGGACGCTAGTGGTTATCTTGTGAAGCTCATCCCCCTCCGTTTTACAGCTTATCACATTCAACAAGATGTGTACATAAAGTGCTTAGGACATCTAGCAAATAATTAGTCACTGTGAACAGAGAACTGCCCAAGATCACAGGTTGGCATGGAACAGGACCAACGCCTGTTCTCTGGACTCTGCTCCACCTCCTCCAGGCTTTTCTACAACAGCAATGTTGAAGCAAGTCTACTGCTCCATCACTGCCATCCCCAGAGGATACCTGTCACCATTACAGTGCTTCCCAGTGGGAAGCAAGAATCCTATAAGGACCACTGGTCTTGGACTAAAAGCTCACTCTGTGCTCATTTTTTTTTCCCTATTTCATTGAAGACATATATGTGCTATTTTCTATCACTCAGTGTGGCCACATGCTTTAAAAAAAAAAAAAACTAATCCCATTTACCAAAACAGGTGCCATTACGTCAAAACGACTTTTTAAAAAGTCAATGTTAATGAACGTGTTGCACGAACGTGGTAGAAAGCCTTCTCACTTTACTAAGCACACTATAATCTGATCAGGCAAATTGTTTCTAGCAGATTACAGGGTTCTGTCTAGCCATTCTGGTTCCTAAAACAGCACCTGGAATGTAATAGGAGTATTCATCTCTCCTTTGGATTTTTGCTTGGATGTCACCTTCTCAAGAAAGCTTCCCAAGCAACCACCATACACTCCCACTCTCCTCACGACTGTAGCTGTCTCCAGAGCATTACCTGGCAACATAACTTACAATTTACTTGTTTATTATGCTCATTTATGCATAAATAAATGCATAAAGCAGGGATCTCTGTCATTCACTGACACACCCCAAGTACAGCAAACACCCACTGAGTGAATGAGTCCCAACCTCACCATCCTCTTTCTGACGTACAAGGGAACCCATTTATTTCACAAAGTCTATAGAAACATCACACTCACTGTGTATAACAGGGCTCTGGCCCTCTAAATCTTTAGATTTCATAAAGGGTAATGCCTGTGTTATCAGCTTAGACTTGCCAAGAAATACTGCCAACTGGTTAAATTTAATTTCAAACAAGATAAAATGTCTCACTAATCATTGAAAGTCAACTATATGCATAATTGCTAACAGCTAGGGCAAAGTGGATCTGAAGCTATTTGTAGCAGTCAGCATTTTCTCTAAATCCTTACCATAAAACCTTAGAAAAGTGGTGTCTTGAAAACAGAATGAAATGAATATATAGAATGTATATTCTAACCATGTAGAATATACTCATTTTTAATAAACAGAAAGACCTAGCCCTATTCCAATTACATAGTATAGGATAAATACTTACTATTTCACAAGCATAAGCAGGTAATAAAAACACAGACCTGGCTCATGGAATGTCCTATGCTGCTGCAACAAAGGCCAGGCCCAGAGACGGAGTCACACATCACTCCGTGAAGAGACTCACTCGTCTGTGCCAGAGGCAGACTGGCCTTCCACACAGGCTTTTGGGAATGGCAGTGGGGCAGCTCTGGAACCACAACCACACAGGGAGCACTGCTGGCACTGAGTGGGAAGGGCCAGGGATGCTAAATCCTCACAAGTCAGGGCACAGCCCCACCTGCCAAAGAACTCTGCTGCCTAAAGTGCCAGCAACACACCCTTCTTTGTAACAGACTTAGCAATAAGCCAGCACCTCACAGCTGTCAACACTTTTCCTGGTAAACTGATCAGTAACAATAAAACAAGTGGAGCACAGTAATGGACACACAGTAGCTGCCTTCGAAAGACTCATTTGTCTCTACTTCTCCATGTGATACAAATCAAAACTCCAGGGTTTTCTTGGGCAGGGGTGTATGGGGCTTGACAGTATTAGGATTTAAATTCAGGGCTTCACTTATGAGGCCTGCTGTACCACTTGAGCCAGACCTCCAGCCCTTTTTGCTCTGGTTATTTTGGAGACGGGGTCTCACTTTTTGCCTGGGTCGAGCTGGTCCATAATCCTCCCATTTTGTACTTCCCCATGTCACTGGGATGACCACCACCATGCCCAGCTTTTTTCTGTTAAAATGGAGTCTCACAAACTTTTTTGCCTGAGCTGGCCTGGAACCTAGATCCTCCTAATCTCAGCCTCCCATGTAGCTTGAGATGACAGGCACGTGCCATTGTGATCAGCTATTGGTTGAGATGGGGTCTCATAAACTACTTGCCCAGGCTGGCTTCAAACTCAATCCTCCCAATTTCAGCCTCCCAAGTACTGAGGATTACAGACACAAGCTACTGACGCCAAGCTAAAACTCCAGTTTTAATGACATAATTGATGCTGCTCTTCATTTTATTTCTATTTATTTACTTATTAATTTTGTTGGTGCTGGGAATAGAACCTGGGGCTTCACACATCCTAGGCAAGCACGCTACCACTGAGCCAAACCTCCAGCCCCTGGTCCTCACGCTACATCAGCTTCATCAAAGAAAACTGAGTGAGCTCTGAAAGAACTGTTGGGCTCCTGGCCCTGGAGCTGCAAGTCAGTCATCCCTGCTCCCACCTGCTCAGCTGGAAGGCTAGAGGAAAGGTCCTCACCAGGCTTTGGAAGAACAAGTTCTAGTTGTTTCCAGCTCTCATCTTAATGAAGGGCACACATAAGAAGATAAATGTGGCACTGAGAGGCCGCAGGCATCCAAACTTCCAGGAGCAAATTCTAAAAGGCTCCCGCCTCCTTTCAAGATGCTTATAGGATTAGCGAGGAGAGCAAAATGCAACCTCTTCAAAAGCTGCTGATCACTTACTTTAATTATATAAGCTTCAAGTCAGAGTCTTAAACACTTCCACATCAGCATTAATCATCTATGGTGCTGAGAAACCAAGCACAGGAAGCACAAATTCAACTCTTTCTGGCATTTAACTTCACAACTAGGGGCATCGCCGACTTGTAACACAGGCAAAAAAATGGGGTCCCAAATTAATTATCAAAGACACACCCTCTGAAAGTGTCAACTCAGGTTATGAAAGAGATTAAATGTTGGTCAAGCTGAGTTTCACACTGGGCAGAGGGGAGGGGAACGGGACTTTGACTTGTTTCCTGCAGCAAAATGACGGCATATGCATTGCAAAATAAAAGCACGGCAGGTAAAGCTAAGAAGAGCAGCCACATAAAGAAGCTGAAACCGAGTTGCAAAGACCAACACTACAGCACCTCACTAAACAAGTTTAAATCTTCCTAGAAGAGAGCTAAAGGGCAGCAAAGCGACAGGGGCCTCCTTTGTCTTAAATGCTTCTGATATTCTGAGCTGCAAATCTTGGTGCAGGTTTTCCAGGTACCTGAACATTTCGGAAGCCTGGATGTCAACAGTACCTTCACCATTCATCAGTCGTGTCCATATGTTCAAAAGATCAGCATAAAGTACCACAGATCCCCATCCTAACGCCGGAACCTCTAGGTTCCTTTAGGCTGCCCGTCTTGGTTGGGAGAGCCTCTGAAGGCTCCCTGAGGCCTTCAGTCACTGGATCTCCCTTGCTTAGTAGTGGACAGAACATGACACCAACTACAAGGTGGCTTTGGTTTAGCATTTCTTTTCAGTTTGGTGAAATTCCTGAGCCCCTGCTAAGTCTCTCCTCTAGGTCAGGGGTCGGTCTGTGGCTGGCTTAGACACATTTCTACTTGACTGACGCCCTTCAAAGACATGCTTTAAAAAGAAAACTATGCTTCAAGAACCAAGGCCACACACCTCACAGAGCTCACCAACTACATTACCACGACTTTACTGCCTTGCTAAGCTCCCACGTACAATTTCAGGTTTCAGGAGACTCTGCTCCAGAAACGTTGTTCAGTTCATTACAGGAACTTCTTGAAACATCCACCAACTCTTCCGTGGAAGTCAACAACAGACAGACCCTAAGATTCTTTCAATGCTTTGCCTCAAAATCCTTGCTCTTTTTTTTTTCCCCCCACCAATCCTAAATTGTTACATCTTGATTCTGACCTAATCCTGGTTAAGTCTCACACTGTAAACCAAACTTCCAATTCTCAATCCTCTAACCTGGCTTTCCCTCCAAAGCCACAGCCAACACCCTACGCAGATGGTGTTCTCCCTCACAGTATAAACAATAAAATCAGCTGTGTCTGACGGACAGATTGCACTGTTAATATTGGTGTGTGTGTAGAGGAGATATGTTCCAGTCAGCAAGTTTTCTCCATACTTCTGTGTACTGGAGTGCAGAGCGTCCTGGCCTTGCTCTTCCAAACTACCAGCTTTTCAC